CAGGATTCCCTGGCTGAAAGGGGAAGGAGTGGTGCTTTGTAGCTCAATGTARATTGATGTCCATGTGATGCTGAATGGTCAGTTTTCCTTTATTTTTCTTAGGAGCACATTGTGCTCTCGTGTTTTCTGATGTCAACACTGTAAGTGTTGCCAAAGTAACTAATCCTGGGGTAATGGGGTGTGTGTGTCAAAAGGGATGTCTCGGAGACCTGGGTGAATTTTTCTTTTGAGAGATTCTTTTGAGGAGTTTTCCTTCTGAGAGATACCTGAGGAAGCATCAAAGAGCCRGTCTTCTGGGAATTTCTGAATGTCTTCTGAACAAAAATGGGCAAACCTTCAGCTGAGTCAGCTGTTCAATGTCCATTTGCTCCCAACAGTGGTTTAGCAGCAAGAGCACAAACCCTGCCTGGARGCTGTTCCCTTCCCTGCAACTCAGAACAAGCCATGGTTTTAGCAGCTTGTGTAAAACATTGCAAGGAGTTTATCCCTCCCCTACATGAAATACTGGAGTAGAGAAGGCTCTTGGATGCCTCTCTCTCKCTAAACCTAAATCTCTAAATTGCTATGCCCAAGAATTAATAAAATCCATATTGAAGTGACAGCTGGTGGACAGAGCTGGCTCCTTCCCGCATCACTTGTCTCTCTAGTGGCTCATGTTCTGGGCTCAGTGCACATTTATCCTTTTATTACGGCATTTATTGACTTCTATTTATTTATTTATTAAACTTCTGTTTTCTTAAGAATCATAATTGCACTGTTCGAAATCAAAGTTTGGTTGTATCAGCACCAGCTATTAATGTAGCTCTTTTCTTTTACTCTAATTAATGACCTTCCAAAGGCATTCATTGAAGGAAGTAAAAATGCAGGCAAGTGAGAATATATTTTCTCCAAACTTTAAATGGCATCATGAACCAGCTTCTGTACAACTTTAACTATTTCCTCTCCTGAAAATGCGTGTTCTTATTCTTAAATCATAATTTCTTCCAYTTTTGCCACCCCCTAATTCAAATGTGCATTTCTCAAACTGACAGAAACTTCAGACTCAGTAGAGCAGTGGAAAGTGACTGTCACAAAGATAGGGATTCAAGTGAACTTTAGAACAGAAATTCATTTGCTTGTTTATTTATTCTGGGTTTATACTAAGTGGCAAGAAGAGATAAAAAACCATTCTTTTCAAGGGAGAGAATGTTGTTTTCTAAAGAAATGAGGTTCAGTCATTGTCTCTGTCAGTCTAGTAAGTGATTTCTGTTTTGAGATAGAGAGAAAAGAAAGACCAAGTCTGCCTTTGTTTTCTGGAACTCTGTAACCTGGGTCATCCAGGTAATTACAGCTTTACTTAAGAAACAGTGTGAGAGAGAAAAACTCTGCTGCTGCTTGTAAGCACAAAGARAAGACACTTGAGAGAATTAAATTGCATGATGACTTTCATAAGGCATCAGAATCATTTTGCATTCCCCCTCTAAAGCAGAAAATGATGAGTTTAATATCATATTGTWGGATGTAACTGGTAAGTCTCTCCGAAGACAGCTGTGGCATCCAGAGATATTTGAGCCTAGTTATTCATTATTTTCTGCACAAAGGCTGAAGCAAATGTGACTGTGAGACTTTGAACCACCTCTAAATTTATTCCCACTCTCACTTGCAGATGCTGCAGCAATAGAAGTCCTGATGGGGCTGGGGTGTGTAGATACTGGCAGATGCCCCTGGGGTATAACAAGACAGCAGTGGGTTAAGTGTGTTTGCATGTGYTCATGTAAATGCAAACATACRTTTATTTACTTCATTCTYCCATYAAAGTTCTCCTGTCTCCAAGAGCAACAATTTCAGAAGGTCACCTCTCTGCTGAMTTTTCTCAAATTGCCATCAGTAGGTGACATTATGTATTTTATAAAATGTTAATTCTGTGATCCATCCTGAATTGCCGGAGATCAGTAATTACGTCAAAATCTTCCGGAGAATCTCAACTGAAATGTGAAACTTTATTTCCTTGCTCCGATTTCTTGTGTGGCAGAACAGATCCTCCACAAAAAAGCAGCTATGAATATGCATGACGCTAAAGAGAGAGAAGAAATACCTTTATTTTTCAGGAATATAACATAATTCTCATGAAGCTTGTGTGCAAACAAATTCTCTGCTACTTGCTCCACTACTTGAGGCACGAGGTGGCAAACTTTTAATGTGCCAGTGACTGGACTGTTATTGTCCATCTTAAGGCCACAATAACTTTGTGTCTGGGAATAAAGGGACTTTTTCCATTAGGAACTCATGTGTTATGTCAACAATGCACTGAATTATTTTGTTCTGTAATGGAGAATGCTCAASATGTTTCCCTTTGATAAAGTAATGAATGTGAGGAGAAGAGATGTGAAATGCTGAAATGCTGTTCTGCTCACACACAGCAGGGTCTGAAAGTAATAACATCTAACTGGCAATTACTCTGGCAGTGTTTAAAAACATGCTGAATAGGATGGACAGTTGCAAGTTTGGAMTAAATTTAGTGCACAGGAATATGTRAAATAAGGATTTTTATACATTCAATAGGAAGCTGAGGAACAAAGACTAGGAAAATACCAGTTGAATAGTTATTGTGGGCCAACTTAAGAAATTACTTTTTAAATGCCTTGAAAGGAATGACTGGAAAAATGTTTTTAGCACTTGTCTGGGTGTTGAGCTACCTGTTTAATGTCATGGCTTCCAAATAAGAGATCTGGGAGCTTAATCTYTAGGTGAAGGTGACATCTGTGAAGGACATTGTTCCCTCACAAAAACACCATTGCAATCAGTTTATCTGAAAATTATTTTGATGAGCAAAAAAGATCTTCTCTGTGGCACTTTTACCAACAACTTTTTTTGAGCGAGGGTTCTAGGAGAGTTTAGAAAATAGTGGTACTGTTTATGACAGGGTAACTTGATAATTGAATACTAAGCTGAGTCTCAGGTCACCCATGTTCTGCAGTTGAATTTCTTGCTGGACAGCCTATGGAAAATTATCTTCATAATCTGTGCCTCTGTATCTCTGTTTGTAGCCACCTTCTTTTGGAAACAAAATGAAAATTATGAATGAATAAGAGCACYGTGACACACCACAAATCCTGCAGTTTACACCAGCAATTTTATTTGTGTGAAGTCACAAATTATTCTAGTCTATTGTTATATATCTCTCTGTGCTTCTCGATTACTTTATGTTAGTAACTATGTTCCTATAAAGAATTCTGTCTGGTTGTTCTAAAATAAGTATGACTTAGGTCACTGACTCCTGTGTGAAGGACATTTGTGCTTTACAAATACCCAGTTTAACTAGATTATCTGCTCACTTCATCAAATCACTGTTTTGAGACTCTACAACATGTTCTGTTTTATGGTGATATGCCAGCGTGCATCTGATCTCATCAAATTCTGTTCGTGATGGGGAAATTATCTCATGAAAATAGTATTACTTAATCTTGGTTTTAATTTCTCTATGCTTGGAGAGGAARAAAATCCTGTGTGGTGTTTCATCCTGTCAACGCTAATCTTTCTCCTCAGTGCTGTATCTCCAAATAGCAGATGTGTGCTTTATTGCAGGGCTGGTCCTCCATAGCACAGCAGAATGTTTTGGCAGGAGCAAACACTTTATTGTGTTAGAGTCAAACACAATCAAATGTTCCCTTTCCTATGAAGCATGGTCAGATATTGATATTGCATTAGGTAACATTTTAACATAGCAGAGGCTTAATAAGAGACCTTATTACTCTCTCCAGGCTGTTTAATTAAACCAAACAGTCGCTGTGTATTATACATTGGTTTTCTGCCAGGGGAAAGTAAATCTGTATTATATTAGTGTCACATACCAAATGATGTTCTTCCCCCATCAGAGACCCTTCAGAAGAGCTGACACTGCTGTCACATGAACTGCATGGTCCAGCCTGCTTTCCTGCTTCACTGGACTGTCCCCTGGTTCAGTATTTTCCAGCAGCCTGAGCAACCTTTGTGTGCAGGGGTGATTGTGGCTGCAGAGCTGCATGTTGCATTTCAGCATGGGGTTGAGCATCATGAGCATCATCTGCCAACAGAGCTCTGCTATATTCCTCTGTTGAGGCAGGGACATCTGAATTCTGGTCACCAGGATGGCTCCAACTGGCCCCATGCTGGCCAGGTGACAGGGGTGGGCTTGTCACTGTCCAAAGAATTTGGGGAAACTGGGTAATCCAGTGGCATCTGCTCTGGTATCACTCTTTAGTTTAGGCCAGTGCCATCCCACTGCTGCTGATGGCACTGTGAGCAGGGAACAAAGGGAACATTCCCTCTTTCTCCCYGATGCCATGGGAAGGGTATGGATGGGAGAGCAGGCCCTTCTGTGTTAGGGGCTCCTGCTGTTTCCTTTTACAGCAAGGGCTGGTGCAGAGTCCTGTAGGGAGCTGCAAGTAGAGAGGCATTCCAGGCACGTGCCTGGGGGAGTTGTTGTGCTGAGTTACTGCCACAAAGCAGAGGAAGACAAAAACATTTGCAGTATTTCTCCTTACACGCARAAATAAACTGCACAGGAGATACTGAAGTGTTTTTTACACAGTTTTGAGCCTGTTTCACCTGGCAGAAGGGTACATCTGCATAATTCAATGCAGAGCTGTGCAGAGATGGCAAAGCTATGCCCAAATAATTGTGCTCTAGAACTGGAAGGTGCATATTTTTRTCACTGGCAGTAAGCCCTGTATCACAGTGAAAGATAATGTTTTGGCTCTTTTTTTTTTGCACAGTGTCCTGTGCAAAATGTTCCAATATTCTCAAAAAAAGGTAAAGAAATGTCTGCCACAGTCCTTTGTTGTATTTCACGTGCCCCCACAGAGAGGTAGGAGTGGCTGGGTGCATCACATCAAGATCTTTAGTGAGATTCCCTGAAGCTGGAACCATGGATGGGTTCAACAATGGCAGAGCTGGATTTATGGGGGGCTTCACCTGCAYACCTCAGTTATGATTTATCCCATGCTGAATGTTTTGTTGTTGTTGTTGTTTTCCCTCAACAGAAGATTAACCTGGAGTTCTAYATTGACATCCATGCCCACTCCACCATGATGAATGGCTTCATGTATGGGAACATCTTCGAAGATGAGGAAAGATTTCAGCGACAGGCTGTTTTTCCCAAGCTACTCTGTCAGAATGCTGAAGACTTCTCTTATGTAAGCTGATTTTTCTTAATTAATTTTTCCTAGGTTTTTTTGGTTTTTGTTTGGGTTTTTTTTTTGTTTTTTTTTAATGATAAATCTCTGGCTTTATTGGATTGAGTGAATTTTATTTCAACATGAATAATAGGCTACTGAAAAAATTTATTATTAGCTACCATCTTCGCTTTTATATTTACCTTATTCTGTGGTGATAAGTTGTGATCTTATGTATATGTCAGTGGACACATGAACAAAAGCAGGTTCTTCATCTTCTRCAAAATAACCTTTGGTTCTCAATTACTGGGATACCTTGTTTTTCTCAGATCCTTTGTCTTTTGATCAGCTGAGTCAACTTTATTGTTCCATTGTTTATATTATTTGTGCATTCTAAACAGTAATATGCTAGCAAATAGCAAATAAAATTAATTCGCTTGAAAGAAAAGGTTAGATAACCTCTTTTGAAAGTTGTGGCAAAGGGACCGTGTGCTTTTGGAATTCTTTGATAGAAAACTGTTCTGCAAGAAGATTTACAGTTGCCCAATACTTATAACTTGGAAGAAAGTATGTTTGTAGGTATCTCTGATATTGGAAATAAATGGCAAAGCCTTCTGAGTGAGTTGAAAAGGGACATATCTTTTTAGAGCGAGTTTCTAATAGGTAGAAGAGCTCAGAAAATTGTCCAGGGTGTGGAAGACCAAATCYATCCTAAACTAGGAGGGACAGCAGAGTCATCTGTTCCCAACTGTTTGGAGTCTGGGGAAGAGGAAGTTGGGTTCRTGGAATAGTTTTTCATACCCAAGGRGACCTTGGTGACTGAGTTTCTGCTCTGTACYCAGTGGTTTCAAAAACACATTGCAGAGAAGGGACATTCGCAGATCATGGCAATGAAAACCCTCAATTGATAGGAGTTGAGAAATTCTGTGCTCCAGTGTGGGATTTCTCCCTGCTGCTGTGCGAGATTAAGTGTTCCCCTTAGCACAAGCCTTGGTTGACAAAGGGAAAATCTTTGAGAAGGTGATGTAGGAAAAAAGAGCCAATAGCTAAATAAACAGCACAGGCTCTGCCCTTTGACTCTGGAGCTCGTTCCTGGAGGAGCTGGCAGTCAGATATATCCACTGGCATCCAGTGCAGAGTTCCACCTGTGTGCTGCTGGGTACATTCAGCTTCCCCCCAACATCCTACTGCTCTCTTGAGACTGGAAGCTTTTCCCCTGCCGTCCATCCAAGCCATTCTCCCCAGGCAGCTGAGCAGATAGAAGTGTTGGGAAAGGAGACAGCCATGAAGTGTCTGACATGTGTGAAGTGACCATGTCAGGAAGGTTTGTTTTCATGTTTTCAGCTGYAGCCGTGTGGCTTGTGTGACTGGTTGGAAATATCAGGTGAAGAGAGGAAAGGAATCCAAAACAGGGGGGGAAAAAAGTGCTGAAGACTTAAAATAGTGTATGTAAATATGCCCTCTTGCCTGCTCAAAGGGAAGGGGGGAGGTGCATCGTTAACATTACCAGGCTGGTGTTTGAAAGTGTGGGAATGGACCACTGTTGTTACTAATTAATTTTCCAAAGCTTCAGGAGGTCTCATTTACATTGTGTGCTGCTGCGGCCATTTGTTGGGATTATAATACTTCAACAGCAGCACTTCAAGTGAAAACTGGCGGCTGCATGAAGTGTTGTCCATAATTGACTAGCTCCATGTCTTCACACAGCACAGAGACAATGTTCCATTATGTTATCCATTGACAGTATCATTGAAAAGATTACTCTCCTTAAAGCATCTGTCAACCTTGATTGATTTACAAGGGACAAAGCACTGAAAAGGTTTGAAGTGCGGGTACAATTTTTGCCACCGTTTAGCATACATAATGGTTCTCCTTTGATGTCAAAAGCTCATCTTCTATTAATAATGCAGAGGGCTTTTGAATGCAGGCTACTTGTATGGAGTTCCACACTAATAACCTACTTGCTGTGAAATGGGATTCACTTTTGGAGAAGCAGTCATTTGGGTTTTACACGTTGGGAATGAATCCCAAYTCAAAGGGATTTCTTTCAGCGCTCTGCGTGCTTGCAGCTGAGCCCGGCACGGGTTAGGGAAAGCAGGCAAATCCTAATCTGCTCCTCCAGCCGAGGATCTGGCAGGAATCAYGCAGCCAGATGCAAGGGAGCATGAACAACAAGCCCGGGATGATGCCATCAAATGCCTTGTGCCGTTTTGTCTGGCAACCTTCTATTAATATACTTGAGAGTGCATTTCATGCCTGGGCTGCTTTCTTCACCTGCCATTTCCAATAGGCCTTTTTATTTAAATGGCAGCATCCCAGGGAGATTGGTGGTTAGAGTAGGGGATGGATAGGGGATTTGTACCCACATGCCTGTTGTAGGACCAAAGGAGGGTCAGTCAGTGTCTCTGTGCCCTATCTCTCAGGCAGAACACTTGACCCCATGGCTCTCTGGAAGGCTGACTGTGCTTCACAAGCACCAGTCGTGAAAGGGATCAGAAATTCCTCATTTGTACATGACTTCAGAAACAGAGGACTGCCTTTGGTTGAGCTGTCAGCACATGAAGAGGAAAGTGAAAGAAGGGCTAGGATGTTTTGCTCCCAGATAAATACATGAGACATTCTTGGGCAGCTGCCTGGGCAAAAGGGATGAGATCTGTAAGGGAAACATTTTATATTTTCAGTGTTTTAGAAGGATATTTTTAAACACTGGGGAGTAAATATAATCCATATGAAAGCTCTAACAGTGAAAGCTGACAAGCTCTTTTGAAAGGCTGACTCATTGGGTTTTAGGAGCAGCTGTTGACACCATGTCTGAGTGCATTACACATCAGCCATGGCTTGGAGTAGTTGCAGTTTTTGTAGGGATGCTCTTCATTTGACCTTTCTTGTTGGGGAGAGTGGATTAGTCAGAGGGACCAGACAGAAGCATTTGAGCATTTCAAGAACCTGCTAGTCTTAGGGGTGGCTAATTTTGACCTTTGTGACAGTATGAGAGGAGGCCATCTGTTCTCTCTGGTTCRTTTGAAAGAAACAACTGCAGCCATTCTTGGGTGGCTTTATCACTTTGCAAAGATTGCTTTTCTTTGCAGTTAAAGGATAAAGACTAGCCAGAGGTATTTGGCCTGTTCTGATAAGTTTGGGTTGGTTTTTTTTTTTTTTTTTTTTTTTGGACTCTGAACCAGTGGCATTTGGGATACCTTTGAATTCTCTTTTCATTTTCTTGTATTTAACTTCCCAGCAGAGAACCTTCCTTAGAAATACTGTTTGCCCTTTGTGTGCCAGGGTTAGCCAAAGACCCTGATAAAAACTCAGGGTGTCGTTGTGTTGGACACTGGGTAACTGCTGAGAATGTGTACAGCCCCTAGAGCTTCCAGTCATGCTGGGAAAGGGATAGAAAGTGAGGGAGAAATTATTTGCTTGGAGAAATTGGAGAGTAAAACTTGGATGTCCCAATGCCAGTCTCATTTTTTTTGTCAGCAATTCCCTGCTTTATATAATGTTCACTCTCAAGAGTGAAGTCTCTAGACCACATCCAACACAGTTTTCTTTAGGGAAGCATTTTTTTTAGCTCTAGTGCCATAGAAGAATTTTTTTTTTTTTAGCCCTAGTGTTGTATGTGGCTGGACAGGAAAAGGGAAGCAGTAAGAAAGTTGCCCAGGCCTAGAATTTATCCTGCAGTAAAATCCACATTCGCTTGCATATCCATCTCCTAACTGCCTATCTGCTGTTTTGGTAAAAAAAGACTCTTTGTCCCAGAGAGGCAAAAGCTGCCGTGTTCAGGTAGGTTTTGTTAACATCACACAAGCTTAACAGATCTACTCAGAAATCTCTTAAAACCTGAGCACAACAAATGATCCTGCCTCCTTTTTTTGTAGCCTTGTACCCAGGCATATCCAGGAAGACAAATACAGCTATTATATGCTTTAGCACCCCTCTGGGATGCATTTCTGCTTGCTGCTTCTTGGACGTGTTGCTCCATAAATTCATTTATTTATTTATTTTATTGTTTATTTATTTATTCTGGAGGCTGGGTGAGTCCAGACAGGAAATGTGTTTCTGGTGGCACAGGAACAGACTGTAAAGTCTGTCCCTCTGAGTGTTATAGGCTTTGTCTCTCAAGAACTCTGCCTCTTGGAGAGCCTCAGTGAAATGAAACTGTTCCATTATTTTGTGCTGCACCAATTCACCCTTCCTTGTRTACTGAGGATTGAATTTGTATTGCAAAGGAAAGGGAAAGGAGAGGGGGGAAAATGTTGGAACAAATGGATTTTCTTTCAGTGCCCTCTTGCCTCGTTGTTTGTGCATATAGGAGCTGACAGTCCCTTCTCCAGCCCCACACAGGTAGAAATTTAGAATGCACACAGAAGAAACAAAGCTTTCATAGCAATTTTATGGTGTGTTCTCAAGGACCATCATCACTCTTACCTATGTCATCGTGCTGGGAGCTGGTGGCAGCCTCCCAGAGCAGCAGCAATGAAAGGAGCTGCTGTAGATTCTCCTGCAAGCTGCCTCTCCTGCAAATTCCCTCAGCTGGGAAGGAAGGGCTGSAAGCTGGTTGAGATCTGGACACTCATCCCCATGCCCAGATATCTTTCTGGGTGTTACCCTTCTAACCACTTGATATTTTAACRCATGTAGAATCCATCTCTGGCTCAGAGAACTGTCCTGGAGCAGTGAAAGAGGCGAGAAGGAGTGTGAGCAATGGGCTGTGTTGGGATGCCCTGGGAGCAGCATCCTGTCCTCCTTAGGAAGGTTGTAATCCCCTGATTTAGGCCTGAAAGTGAAAAGAACTTTTCCTTGCCAYGGAGCAAACCACTTTTTCTGCAGACTATTCAAAGCAACTGTGTGCATGATGGCTGCATTTTCCTTTTTTGCTTCTCATTGTCCTAGTTTTCTGTCATTTGTATAAATGATTATGAAAGCACTCCCAGGAGAGCGCKCTCACGCTCATAAAAGTATTGTAAAGAGAAGCATTGCAGGCTATTGCTAGAGGCTATTTTATTGTATATTTTGAGGAAACG